GGGGGTTTGGGAAGATAATGAGAATCTACAGAAGTTGTGTATCAAAATTTTTTGGTACTTGCTGTAAAGGTGTGTTGGCATCCTGACTTCAATACAGAAATGTGGACGGTTATAAATGACGCCATTTGATAAGTAAAAATGCTATTTAAGGGCCTCTCCAAACCTTAGTGGTGACAGAAAAGCGAGATTTTGTCTTTTTCCCAGTGTTCTGACAGAACTGAGGCCAAATGTCTGAGCTTTCCATGGTCTTTGCTCCTTGTCGTTTCTCTTGGAAAAGACGGTAATTTGCTTCGTAATTCATTAATGGTTATCATGTTTAAATTAAACAGTTAATACAGGACAAACTGAATTTTAAAAGTTAAGCCATGTGTTCCTGATAGAGTTGAAGCAATGAAGTTGTGGGAGCCAAGTACACAGGAGGTCTGTGACCACATACTGCTGATTTCTTCAATAAATGCCAGTTTGGTTTTCATTAGATCTGCCGTCCAAAATAAGCAAACCAATGACTACCTCAAATTCAGCATGATTTAACTATAAAAGGTGAATCAAACATTTTAAAGATAATATTTGTGGAGCTCCAAGCTGTGAGAGTCTAGGATTGATTTCAGTTGCATAGACCTAAGCTGCAATCAGTGGTACTTAGTGGAGGTAAAGGCAGAGCAGAAATCAAAGCAGCCCTACTGCTACTGTAGGTAGCCAAAGCCAGCTGGAGCAAACCCCAGTGTTGCACATGGAGCTTCTGAACCTGCCCAGTCTGATTTTCAGCTCCTGAAGGGTATGCTTCCTCATTCACCTACCAGGCAGTTCCTTATTGAAAACAAATAGCTCTTTGTTACTCTGGTCATATAATATTCTATAAGTGTTTAACTGAGGCCTCTTCAAAGGCCCGTGAATGGGAGCCTGTGAATTTTAACGGACTCTTTAACTCCATTAACCTTTTTCTTTGAAAAGAAGTCCCTGGACTCCTAATGGCTAACAAAAGGTTTTGTTCTGCAAATGTCTTGAACTCTTTTTTAGATTTTATATTCGCAGGCCAGAATTGAAGATTCTATTGCAAAGAAATCTGTCTATTCTATCCCCAATTACTTGTTCAGCATTAATGACAAGAAGTTGAATAGGTTTGGAAGACTTTTATTTTCAGGATCTAATCCAGAAATCTGCTATGAAGTGTCAATAATATGTAAACTGGCACCTTTGTTTTCAGATTTTTTTACTGTTCAGCCAGGCTTACCTAAAATAGTAAGAAAAAAAAGACACTTCCACCATACTGAAGATACTGTTAGGCTAGAGCTTTGGGCAATTAAAAAATAAAAAAATGTGTAAACTCTTGAAAATTTTCAGTCCTTTTAACTTTGTCTCGTGTTCTTTCACTAACCTTGTATATTCTGTGAAGTTCCATGGCTGTAGAATCATAGAATCACCTGGGCTGAAATGGAACTCAAAGATCACCTAGTTCCTACTTCTTTACTCTGAGCTTGGGACACCTTCAACTAGAAGAGGCTCTTCAGAGCCCCATCCAGCCTGGCCTTGGGCACCTCCAGGGATGGGTCATGCACGGCTGCTCTGGACAACCTATTCCAGTGCCTCACCACCCTCACAGCAAAGGATTTAATCTTAATGTATGATCTGCACCTGCTCTCATTCAGTTTGAATCCATTCCCCCTTGTCCTGTCACTACAGGCTCTTGTAAAGAGTCTCTGTTGCAGGCTCCCTTTTAGGTACTGGAAGGCTGCAATATTTTTGAATCTGAACAATCCCAATTCTCTTAGCCTATCCTCATTGGATGATCTGGTAAGGACACAGCAGCTCCTTCCATCATCATTTTGTTCTCGTTGATTAAATTAGAAATAGCTTTTTTCTGCATCTTGTTCTTTCTAAGAAGTAATCTGAAGTAGTAATCCTTTCTGTTTCTGCCTGTCACAGGAATCTTCCTTCCTTCTGCCTGGCAGGTCCAGTCTGTGACAGTGCTTGACTTTCATGTTACTCAGGGCAATCAGCCTTTGACTTCTCTTTTGTCAGAGGTGTTGAAACATTCTGCAGTGTTAGCTCTTAGTGAAACTTTATGCAGCAGTTGCCTGTGACCTGATTTTTATTTCCACCTGGACAGTCAAGCTCCAAGTGAGAGCATTATGGAGTACTAGAAAGTGTGGGCAAGCTTCTGAGTGCAGTAAGATTCCAGGAGCAGCCTAGCTATAAGCTGTATATCCAAACACAAAGCAACAAATTGAACTTCTGAAAATAATGGTTTAAGGCATCTGGACACAGTATGTCAGATGACTGTTGGGTCTTTGGTGCCAACTCTTTGACTTCCAGTTGTGCTGTTGTTACACTAAACTACTGGCTAGCATAGACAAAGCATTCCTTTAATCAGGTATGGATCTCTGCCCTGGCATCACTAGCCTCCTGTTAGTATAGATGTGTAATAGTATGAATATTGTTTTGATAGCTGTTTGATGTTTCTGGGTGGATATATCCTTAGATATGAGAGTCCTAACCATCTCTAAGTCTACCTTGTTCAGAGTCATGCACAGTTTGTCGTGTGGCGTGAACATATGATGTATTTGTTTCCATTAATAACCAGGTTGGAAGGGAAATGAAATAATTTTTGGGGTTTTGGACAGAAAAAAGGAATGCTGTTCCAGATGTCTGGAGCTCCCACCTTTTGCTATTGCTGTGACTTTCTTGTTTGGAGACAGATTTCCTCAAATCTTGTTTATGGGAACACCACTTTACTGGTATTGGTGTTAAAAAGGAAACATTTTGTACTGTTCCTACTCGTGTTGCTGAAGTTCTGCACGAACAGGTCATGTTAAATACTGTGCAGTGCATCATTTGAAATGTTCAGCACTGTGATTTTTGGCTGTCAGATCTATTACGTAAATCAGTTTGATTGTCTTCAAGATATGAGCTTTCTGCTACAGTCTGAACAACACTGAAGTTTCTTGGTTTTGGAAAACTGAATTTCCTGTTGTGTCTGTCTGGCACATATGGATGAGAATTCACTAGCATCACCAGAGCAACAGAAACAGCCAAGGACAAACGTTTGGCATGTTTTATGCTGGAAAAGTCTCCTTTCAAAATCAAAACATGCATATGCACATACTTAAAATGAAGTGGTAAGTGCTTAAAAGGTGGACCAGAGTAAAAAACATGCCAGTGTTGCTGTTGCCCTTTCTTCAGTAAAAATTGCATCAGCCATGTTTTGCCCAGGGCACAGTTTGTATGTTGGAAATGTTCTTTCCACTGAAAACATGGAATGATAAGTGAGTCTTCCATTTTTTTGAGGGAGCTTACTGCAATAGACTCATTAGGTTCCTCATATTGGCTGGAAACTGTTGTGGCTGCTTTCATCCATTTGTGAAAGACCTCTTGTGGTTTGTTTTTCTTCTGAACCTTTGACTCATCAGTCCCTCTGTTTTCTCATGGGTTGAACTCCCAACGCTGTGAGTATTCCTTGGTTGTGTTTTCATACTCATTAGTGAAGAACAACTTAGGCAGCAAATGGATGCCCAAGATACAGGAAGGATCTTTGCTTAGCCAGGATGGATAGAAATTAAGTCTGCCTAATATGACTCTCCAAAAATAGGCCATTTTAAAATTGCTTTGGCTTCTTAAGGCTTTGGTTCTTGTTGATGTACATCTTCTCAGCAGGCAGCTTTAGCTCTTGAGCTTTAAGGCAAGTGGTAGGAGGAAAGCATGAAGAAGTTTGGGGAGGTATGAACCTAGTAAGAAAGTGTCCAAAAAGTCTCCTTTTTATGCAAAAGGAGAAAAAACTCTTCTGAAGAGAGATCCTGGTAGCACATATTCTGCTGTGAGTTATGTGGATGCCTAATACTGTAGGTCATGGAAGAAAGCATAAGTATTTTAAGCTTCTTGCAGAGTTTATTACTGAAGGTGAGAGCAATGTTTCTGGTTAAAGTTCTCTTTTTTATTAGGTTCATAGGCTTACTCTCCATAAGCAAATACAGCAGCCAAACTATGTAAGAGCCTCAAACCTTTCATTTTTATGTCATGATCACATATCTTACTTAAAAAAGCTTTTTTTTCTTGAATTTTAAAGATGTTAGAGTTCAGAATATTTGTTGGAACATTTTTAATTAACAATTTTTGAAAGAGTTTCAAACATTAAGATAAGCATACAAAGAAAGTGCCAGATAAAATAAAAATGAAATACTGAACAGAATTAGTCATACTTCAAGCTTGTGCTGCTTGATTCTGAAAGTTTTTGTTTTAGTACAAGTCCCACTGGGCTCTTCAGAATAATTTCTGTGTTTTGAACTAGATTTCCTGTTTGTTCATATTTTAAGTTATATTTTAAAAAAAGTTTTCATGGCTAAGTATGTTTCAGTGATAGTAATACAAAAAAAATGAAGTTCTTAACCTAATTTTGTTTTCTTAATTGGAGAGAAAATAGATGTTTCTCACTTGCAAATTGAAAAGGTAGAGCAGAAAGTGGCTTATTACCAATTTCCATTATATATACAAAATTCCAAATATTCTTGTTTGGGAAAAAAATAACTAATTTTAAAAGCATTAACACCTCTGGTCTTCATCAGAACAGTGGGAGAGCTATGGCCATTAAAAAGGTGTAGCAGGTACCTTGCAAGGGAAGTTTCTCTTTTATGAGCTGTAACAGTAAGAACTGAAGACTTCTTTTTGTTGATGCATTTAGTTACATGCATTATCTATGGACAAAAAGATCCAGTAGGTGCTACAAGGAGCTGGTTCATTCAGTAATAATGAAATGTATCAACTGCCCATTCAGTGGAATGGCTGGAGGAGGAAGGTGTTGCCATTCTGCAAGGGAGACTGTCCCTCAGAATGGACCAGGAAGTAAAGCTTAGATAACTTGGCCTAATGATTTTATATATGCATTCTCATTTGACCAGTAGTTTATCTTCATTAATTAAAACAGACATGCCAAACTAGTTTGTTTTCTGCTGATTCTGAGCATAAGATTATAAGGATTTAAGATTTAAAAGCATGATTTTTTTTTTTAGGCTAAATCCTTGTTTGGTGACCAGAGCTGCCTATGTTGATGTCCTTGTGATGTTGAGTACTCACCTGGAGAAGTTTCAAAAGCAAGGTAAGTCAATATACTGTTCTATACATGAAATTTAGTATTTGTTTCTATTTCTGAGCTCTTGAAGAAAGTTGAATCTGGAGAAACAATAGTGTATTATTTGTGCTCAAGGTATCTACTGATTTCTGGAATCCTTTAGCTGCTTCATAGAAGAAGGCCTTTTATTCTGCTTCTCAGAAGCTAGTCCTAGGTTTTGTTGAGAAGAAAACTGAGTTCCGTGTCAAGGCTTGACGTGGTCTTACAGTATTCTCAGTCCTAGAATGGCTAGCAACAAAAAAGATCCTCTCCATGTTCCAAAATGGTTTTTTAATCCAAAATCCACATCTTGGACTATTGCGACTTTAACCTTTCCAGAAAGCCACAGAAATGTTTCTTCATGAGACACCTGAAATAGTTTCAGGGAGAATGTTTTCTAATGTTTAGAAGTTTTTAAAAAACAGCCCTGAGAGCTTCTTTCAGTTTCTTTTTTTTATTTTGATTCTTTATCAATGGGAATTTTTTGAAGGACCAGTGAGAACTATCAATGGTATTAATGTAGATTATAGATAGCAAGTGTGAACAATAAGCTGTGAACAATAAGAAAAACAAAGGTATGGAGGAAAGGACACCCTTTCACATGTGCCAGTGTGTAGGCAGCTTTCAGTCAGCTCTAAGTACTTCCTTGTGGGCCTGTTTTGTTCATTTCTTATGAAGAAGTGAGCAATAAATTACCTTGTCAGTCCAGGAAGGCAATTAATTAATAGTTCTGTCATTTCATTAAAATTCTTAACACTGCATTTAATTCACTGGAACAATTCTTTATTTCAGAGATTCATGTTGTGGGCACTGTTAATTTTAAAACCAATTCCTTTTGCTTTTTTTTTTGCCTAGACCTTTAGTTGATGTAGTTCCCTTCTAATTATGAAATTGCTATTGGTCTCATTTCTTGTGACTGTACAGTTCAAATAGGGATAGTTGTTAGGAAAACAAATTGGTGATGAGCATGTCTGAAATTCACTTCTTCAGACAGGTTGTTGCAGAACTAGCCCTTAGAACAGAAGGACAGGCATACAGAGTGACTAGGCAAGGGCCACATGCTCTGTAGGGTGGAATGCACCACCTTATCTAAAGCAGTTTCAATATAACATGTCTCTAGGAATAATTTTTTTCCCTGGCTCTTTACTGGTTTTTCTATCTACCAACAATAATTTTAAAATGAAAAGGTATATTTTCTTAATTTTTTATTGTTACAGAATAAAGCTTTTTAAATCCTCATAAGCCATTTGCCTTAGTGATAATCTTTTGCAGTACATTAAAAACTCTAGCTGTGTATTACAGCTACAAAATAAACAAAAACAACCACCAAAGCCTCCTTCAACCAGATTTGGGCTCATCACCCTCTTACTTTGAATACTGCTTTTTAAAAGATAGATCCTTTTGGGAATATTAATTTTTACAGTTTTTTTAACATGACCCTGTACCACTGTTCAGCTCCTTTGTGGTATGAATCATCCTAGTTTTTCTGTATTCTCTTCATGTGAAGGTTTTTTTCATCTTCTGATTATTCTTGTCACTTGCCCTTCAGCTCTATTTTTGTATTTTCTTTTAGGAAGGAACAGCCAGTACTCCAGGGGAGGGCTCCTGGTTTTGCTTACTTAGTGGGCATTGCATTTCCTTTATCAGTCTCTTTCCTATTTCAGTTATCCTTGGGGTTTTTTTGTCTGTTCTGGTTTTTAAACAATTGCTGCACATTTGCAAAGACTTTTATGGACCTCTCCACACCAGGAAACTCCTTTCCTTTTTTTTAATGCCCCTGATTTGTGAATAGCCCTTTGAGCTTGCGGGACTGCACCATGCTGTGGCTGGATTACCAACTGTAGTGAATTAATTTATTTTCCAAAGCTCATGTGGACGGTACCAAACCTGGGTGCTGTAAGGTACAATTTCTGCAGAAGGAAAACAATTATTTTTGCGGAGTCTTTCTGCTCTGGTATAGTTCATTAGTATTGTTTTGCATAAAAGTTTCATTCCTACATAGGTTTAAAATTACATATTTCAGGCTGTGTCTACAGAGAGTAAACACTTAGGCTGGAAGTACTGTTTTGAAAACCTAAAGATCCACTGGGGACAATTTTATGTATCACAGGCAAGAAGCCCTTCTGAAAGGAAGGAGTTATGTGTTTATATTAAATAGAAACTGAGTGTCCCATGACACAGTAAGAGAAAGACTAAACTCACCAGTTTGAACTGAATGTTATGAGTCTCCCATTTAAATGTTTTAAAGATATGATTATTAATTGAAGCATTATACTTTTCTGAGATTAAATATTTTACTCATATGTACATATCTCTGGTTATGAGCCAATTTTTCTCTGTTCTAATCTTGATTTGTAAAGTTGTTTCAATGAATAAAGGGTGAGGGACAAATCCAAATAAAACTGTTTCTTGATGTGTTTATCTAAGAGGCCCCAGGAAGTGCTGTATATGAGTTCCAGGCCACAGGCTGAAACTGATTTTCATCAACAGAAATGGGAATGCAATGTAATGAGCCTGCAACTGGTTAAAATCAGACCACTTCTAATTGATTATGCCTGTCTAAAGAGGCTACAATTACAAAGAGGTTTTCAGAGTACAGCTCTGCCTAGGCCTTTCCTACATTATGATTATTTTCTGTAAGTGATTTGTTGTTTTGAATTAATAAAATCTGTCTCTTAAAGTGCAGGATAGCCCTTAGAGAATTTACTTCACAAATTCAAGAAAGTCATCTTTAAAATGTTGGCTAAGGAAGGCAGGGAGTAATGGATACCAAAAGCATCTTGTCCAGCTAAAAATTTACTGCTGATTAAATGATGATTATTTATCTTAAACAAAACCAAACAACCCAAACCCCAGAGGCAGCACTTCCACCCATTGCTGCACTGGGTGGAAGTGCTGCCTGATTCATGTCAGTGGGAAAAGACACTTTTCTTTCATTGAGGTGATAGGCAAAATCTAGAACTTTTTTCTCAGCTCCTGATGTGTCTGAGGGCTTTCAGATAGGCTGAGACAATACATAATGCCAAGACTATATAAACTTCAAAGTATTTTTATTCTGTTATCAATTGTGGTTGGAAGCAAGCCTCTAAAAAAAGGAAAAAAAAAAGTTAAAATATAGAAATACTATTTTAACCTTTATTGAGAGTAAAGAAAGTTCTTACCAGGTATAGGATTATTTCATGAGCTAATGTCTAATGTCACTATTAATAATTATTAATAGTGTCCAGGGAATTTGTTCTTGCAGACCTCTTTGATATATTTTCTCCACATTAACTGTTTTTATAGATCAGAAACCACAGATGTCTAGGGCCTTTTCATTCTCATGGGAGAACAAAGCAGTCCTCCTGCAGAGGATATTCTGGCACTTCTACCCTGCTTCAGATATTACAGAGGAATAAAGTAGCATTTGTAGGCATATTGGGGTGGGAAAAATGACCTAGAGTCCAGGTGAGAACTTGTTCAACTTTAGGTGTGTATATGATTATTTGCAAATTCACAAGTTTTGATCAGGAGGAGTTAGAAGCAGAGGTCTGTAGAGCTCCAGACTGATGTGTGCATGTCAGGTTACAAGCTTTCCTGTGCACTCAGAGATGGGCTTTGCAAGTGGTGGAGTACAGGACTCTGGTGTGATACACTGTTTCACTAAATAAGATTCCTCTGTTGAATATATGAACTTCTGAGAGGACCTGTCACAGACATTCCTGCCTTCAAATCTCCTGAAAATTGGTGTTTGAAGCAAAAAATTACTGTGATGTGCAGTGCTGCTAAGGCAGGAGCCAGAGTGTTGAATTGCAGTGAAAGTTCAGATCTGGGATGCTCTGTCTCTCTAACAGATGAAGAATGCCACAAGACAGAGTGGTCAGATTTTTCTTCTTGCTCACATCTTGAAAAAGTTTTCTTGTAATATTTTGTTATTTCATGAGGGGAAAAACGGATGCAACTCTCTGTAATGTACTTGACGAGTAGAAGGGGATTTTGGCCAGGGTTGTGTTCCAAAAAATGGCACTTGTTGCTAGAGCTCTGTCAGTGTCAGTGAAGTAGGATGTAGAACAGAAGACGGAAAAGATGAAAGAAAGTTTTGCTAAAGATAATCCTGCCAAATTGTTGCTTTATCCTGTATATATGCTGTCAATCTGCTAGCTGGTTTGGCCTGTTGTCAAGTATAGTGTCTTCAAAATTCAAGTTTGGTGGGAAAGAGAAAACATTTAAACAAGATGTCAAATAGGATAAATCTGTGATTTAGGAAAAGATCCCACTTGTAATCTAACTAAGCATTTTCCTTTCTATATTTGAGGTGGTAGGATTTATAAAAGTTCTTGAAATTAACCAAACTTCAGTGTTGTGGTTAACTGTGGGAACAGTTCCTTAGTATTTACATGATTGATCCTCTTCATAGAAAGATTGTTTTGATACCAAGATGGAGTAGCCAGTATTCTACTCTTACTTATTTTCTTTCCTTGAGTTTTGCAAAAACATAATCCCATTTTCTTGCTGTCTTCCAAGTGCCTAAACCTTCTGTAAATGTAGGTTAAAGTTCTTGAATTCTTCTTATGGTTGCAAAAAATACTGTGCACTATACATGTGTGTGTATGTGATCAGAAACATGATGTATTATTGCAACTGTCTGCTGGTTTTGTCCTCAAATACAACAAAATACTGTTTTAAGTAACATACAGAGCAAATACCATTCCTTTATATTTGTCCTTTTTAATTGGAAGTTATAAAATACATTGATAGAAATAATACGGGTTATTTTTAATTGGAAGGCATAAAATACATTGATAGAAATAATATGGGTTATCAAACTTATGCTTTGTAGTGCTTTGCAATGCAAGCACAAATTGCTCTTTACATAGGAATCTCTTAAAGGTTTGCCCAAATCACATGATTTGTAGGTCTTTTAAATAGCATTTGAAGGCTGTGGTCACGTTGTTTTCTGTATCATAGTTCCTAATATTTTCTGATTTTAGAAAGAAGTACATGGTAGC